CTCCTCCTCCTCCTCCTCCTCCTCCCTCCGCAATTACTCAATATGAATACTACTCTTTCTCTTCCCCTGATGACGTCTTGGGAATATTCGCCCCTCCCCCGCGTACTGTTTTTTTACACACAGGTTCCCCCGGAGTTGGGTTTTCGCCGGCATTTTTACCTAACAACGGTGACTGATAGGTTTCTAGTAGGGTCAAAAAAAAACCATCATGACGCCCCAAGGGGGTCTGGGCGCGATCCGGGGGAGGGTGCCGGGGACTTTGTTTTAGCCAACATTTACACACTTCGTGGTCTTCGAGGTCCCACAACTCCATTCCCGGGCCACATTCTGAATGCCCGGAGCCAACTGTAGGCCACTTCGTGGTCTTCGAGTTCCCAGAACTCCATTCCCGGGCCAAATTTTGAATGCCCGGAGCCAACTGTAGGCCACTTGGTGCTCTTCGAGTTCCCAAAACTCCATTCCCGCGCCACATTCTGAATGCCCGGAGCCAACTGTAGGCCACTTCGTGGTCTTCGAGTTCCCAGAACTTCCTTCCTGGGCATGATTTTGAATGCCCAGAGCCAACTGTAAGCCACTTCGTGTTCTTCGGGTTCCCAGAACTCCACTCCCGGGCAACATTTTGAATGCTGAGGCAGGCTTTGGCTGAGGCAGGCTGAGGCTGAGGCCGAAGCTGAAGGCAGACTGAGGCTGAGGCTGAAGCTGGCTGAGGCTGAGGCTGAGGCAGGCTGAGGCTGAGGCTGAGGCAGGCTGAGGCTGAGGCTGAAGCAGGCTGAGGCTGGGGCTGAGGCTGATGCACGCTGAGGCTGAAGCGCGCTGAGGATGAGGCCGGGGCTGAAGGCAGACTGAGGCTGAGGCTGAAGCAGGCTGAGGCTGAGGCTGAGGCTGAGGCAGGCTGATGCTGAGGCAGGCTGAGGCTGAGGCTGAGGCTGATGCAGGCTGAGGCTGAGGCAGGCTGAGGCTGAGGCCGAGGCTGAAGGCAGACTGAGGCTGAGGCTGAAGCAGGCTGAGGCTGAGGCTGAGGCAGGCTGAGGCTGAGGCTGAGGCAGGCTGATGCTGAGGCAGGCTGAGGCTGAGGCTGAGGCTGATGCGGGCTGAAGCTGAGGCACGCTGAGGCTGAGGCCGAAGCTGAAGGCAGATTGAGGCTGAGGCTGAAGCAGGCTGAGGTTGAGGCTGAGGCTGGCTGAGGCAGGCTGATGCTGAGGCAGGCTGAGGCTGAGGCTGAGGCTGATGCAGGCTGAGGCTGAGGCAGCCTGAGGTTGAGGCTGAAGGCAGACTGAGGCTGAGGCTGAAGCAGGCTGAGGCTGAGGCTGAGGCAGGTTGAGGCTGAGGCAGGCTGAGGCTGCGGCTGAGGCTCATGCAGGCTGAGGCTGAGGCAGGCGGAGGCTCAGGCCGAGGCTGAAGGCAGACTGATGCTGAGGCTGAAGCAGGCTGAGGCTGAGGCCGAGGCAGGCTGAGGCTGAGGCTGAGGCTGGCTGATGCTGATGCTGAGGCTGAGGCTGAGGCTGAGGCTGATGCGGGCTGAGGCTGCGGCAGGCTGAGGCTGAGGCCCAGGCTGAAGGCAGAGTGAGGCTGAGGCTGAAGCAGGCTGAGGCTGAGGCTGAGGCAGGCTGAGGCAGGCTGAGGCTGAGGCAGGCTGATGCTGAGGCAGGCTGAGGCTGAGGCTGAAGGCATGCAGGCTGAGGCTGAGGCTGAAGCAGGCTGAGGCTGAGGCTGAGGCTGAGGCAGGCTGAGGCTGAGGCTGAGGCAGGCTGATGCTGAGGCAGGCTGAGCTGAGGCTGAGCTGAGGCTGAGGCTGAGGCTGATGCAGGCTGAAGCTGAGGCAGGCTGAGGCTAAGGCCGAGGCCGACGGCAGACTGAGGCTGAGGCTGAAGCAGGCTGAGGCTGAGGCAGAGGCAGGCTGAGGCTGAGGCTGAGGCAGGCTGATGCTGAGGCAGGCTGAGGCTGAGGCTGATGCAGGGTGAGGCTGAGGCAGGCTGAGGCTGAGGCCGAGGCTGAAGCAGGCTGAGGCTGAGGCTGAAGCAGGCTGAGGCTGAGGCAGAGGCAGGCTGAGTCTGAGGCAGGCTGAGGCTGAGGCTGAGGCTGAGGCTGTGACTGCGACTGCCGTTGCCGCTGCGGGTGCCATCGCGAATGCGACTACGACTGCGAGAGCAGCAGAATTTTACCACAGGATTCTCATCTGAATCTTAAGGGGGATGCTTCCAAATATGCTCTTACGCATCGCTGTTGGGTTGCTTTGCCGGGAAAATTTTCCAAAATGCTGCTCTCGCTGGGGCGCCGGCCTCATTTTCGGGCCCCGCTCGTTCAGAATCGTTCTCCCGCTGCAGCGCTGGCATCATTTCCGCCGGCGCCCGGGCTGCCCGCCCGAGCTGGCGCCCGGGCCGGCGCTCGGGCCGGGTCTGGAGCCGGTTCCGGCTGGCACCGGAAAATCGACTTCCGAGGCGGCGCCTAAAAAAGGCCATTCTATTACACATTTTTCTTTTGACAATGCTGAATTTCTGCTTCCGGCGCCCAAGAGGCCTCCCGGGCCGATTCCGACGCCCAAGACGGCGCCCGAGCCGGCGCCCGGGCCGGACGCCCGAGCCGGCGCCCGGGCCGGCGCCCGGGCCGGGTCCGGAGCCGGTTCCGGCCGGCGCCGGAAAATCGAGTTCCGAGGCGGCGCCGAAAAAAGGCCATTCCAATACACATTTTTCTTTTGAGAATGTTGAATTTCTGCTTCTGGCGCCCGGGAAGCCTTCCCCGGAGTTAGGTTCTCGCCTGCAATTTTTCCCGAAATGCTGCTTTCGCTGAGGCGCCGGCCTCATTTTCGGGCCCCGCTCGTTCCGAATCGTGCTCTCGCTGCAGCGCTGGCCTCATTTCCGCGCTTCTGCTCGTTTCGACTCGTGCTCCCGCTGCAACGCTGGCGTCATTTCCCGTGCCATGCCACGGCGTGCAATGCAATGCTAGGTTGATACTACGCTTCGCGGTGCTCTTCTACGCCATGCCATGCCGTGCTCTACAGTGCATCGCGTACCCTTTCGGGATCATCGCCCTGCTTGACATCCGAATGTGCGAGTAGAGAGGGGATCTGCGCCATGGTAAGGGATGGGAGGGAGGGGTAGGATGTCAGATATGACGCGAGCGCACCTAGCTTCTCCTCCTCCTCCTCCGCCTCCTCCTCCTCGTCCTCCTCCTCCTTCTCCTTCTCCTCCTCCTCCTTTCAAGACCCTTTCAATAAGGGCTCCGCAACGCCCCAGGGCGGGGCGCTGTAGTCCGTCAGTCCAGCGCCTGCTGGTGGGCGCCGAACGGCTTCTCCTCGAACTTCTTTGCGACGGGCGCCCCTCCTTTGCTCGCGAGCTGAGGGGCGCCCGACCTTCTCTTCTTTTTCTTTTGTTGTCGAACGCGACGAACTGGCCCCCCCTCGGTGGCCACCAGCCTCCTCCACCTGAGGAGGGCGGCGCGCTCACCACCCGAGGGGGCGATGGCGATGAGGAAGCCGCTGTTCAGGTTGGTTACCTCCGTGGAGTCCTGCTGGTGCCCGATGCTCTGCTGGTGCACGGTGCTTTGCTGGTTCCCGTTGGTGTGCTGCTGGTTCACGGGGGTGTGCTGCTGGTTCCTCCTCCTCCTCCTCCTCCTCCTCCTCCTCCCGCCCTCACCGAGGAGCAGCTTGCCCGCATCGCCCCTGCATAGGGCGAGCGCGCAGGCCAAGCGCGCCGCGCGCAGGCCTCAACAAGTGGCTCCGTGGGCCAATGCCGGGAGCCGCCTGTCTCTCGTTCAACCTCACGCAGGCCGGGGGGGCGGGCTACGAACAGCAGAGCACAGACACCTGTCGCATGCCAGCGTCCGACCGACCTCCCCCCTCTCCTCCCTCGTCCCTGCTCCCCTCCTCGCGCGTGGGAGGCGCACCGAGTCGGGATCGTCCCGAGGCAGCCGCTCACCGCCGAAAAAATAACGAACGAAAAAAAAAAAAAAATATACAAAAACATATAATGAAAACAGAACCAAAAACAAAAAAACACAAGAACGAAAAAAAAAAAAAGCCCACAAACCTGCTCCCTGCTCCCTCCCTCTCCCTCTCCCTCTCGCCCCCGCCCGCCCACCCTCCCTCCCTCCCTCCCCCCTCCTCCCGCAGCGCTGCGTTTCTAAACGGGTGCTTTGCGCTGCGTCGGCCAACCGACCTCCTCGGTCCTCACTCGCTTTGCCCTTTCCTCCCCTCATTTTCCTTAAACATGAATCTCGAGCCGCGGGTCGCGCCGTCGCCATGACGGGGGTCCTCGCACCCCTCCCACCCCGTATAGAAGCCAAGGGGAAGGGAAGAAAACCAGTCATCAGCGGTGGAGGACAAACATTCCTTTAATAAACTACCCTTTGGTGAAAACGGCCTGGGACCGAAACCGACGGACCTGGACCCGCAAAATGACGGCCGCGACGCCCTCTCGCGAACCGAAAACGGCCAATTCGCTAATCGACGTGTCATGGTAGGAGGTCTATCCACCCCCGAGGTCAGGTGAAGATAGCGGCGCGGGGGACGACCGCACACGACGGCAGGAGGCCCTGAAGGAGGGACTTCCGCAGGGCTGGCGCTTGCTGCGCCCGCCTGCGCGGCCTGCTGCGGCCCGAGCCGCGCTCTCTCCGGGAACCCATCGCCAAGCGTGCTGTTGCACTACACCGCAGGAGCTGGGCGAGGCCCTGACCGCTCCCGCTCCGCGCCAACCCGCGCCCCTGGCGACCTGGGCGACCTGGCCCAGAGGCCACCCGCCGCTACCCCGGAGGCCCGAACACCCCGGCCGCCTCCCCGAAGGAGGGCACCCTTGTCCTCTGACCTCCGCCCTGCGGGCCCGTCGCGCCGCATCGGTCGTCCGCCGCCGCCGCCGCCGCAGTCGTCGTCGTCGTCGTCGTCGTCGTCGTCGTCGTCGTCGTCGTCGTCGTCGTCGTCGTCGTCGTCGTCGTCGTCTTCGCGTCGTCGTCATCGTCGTCGTCGTCGTCGTCGTCGTCGTCGTCGTGCGGGCGAGGGGGGGTCCGGCCTGCACCGACGCCTTGGCCTCACCAGCGCAGTGGGTGTCCGCCAGTATGACACGCCGGCCGGGGTAGGTCTGCCTCAGCGCCGTGGCAGTGGCCCGGATGTCGGCGACGTCCTGGGCGGCCACATTCGGGGGCGCGGAAGCACGGATCAGCGATGGATTTGGCGCGCGGTCACCAAATCCATGGATCGGGGGAGGCGCCCTCCCCAAAATGCGGCCGGTGCCGCCTCGTTCGGCGGCGGAAATCCGCGATTTCCCATGGAAACGGGACCCGTCGCTAATCCGCGCCCCCTTAATCCATGTTTGCGATGGCCTGACACATGGGGGCGCTTCGGCAGATCGGGGCGTCGACGTCGTCGTCGCAGCCGTCGCAATGATTCTCGTGGTGTCCGCCGTCGTTCCCATTATGCCCGACGCGGGTGATTCGGGGTGGACGAAAGCGGGGGTTTGTTGCGCTTGTTGGCGAATCAACTGCACGTCGCTGGTTTTCCACGCACCTCCTGGCGCCGGAGGCGGCCGTGTATCGAGGAAAGTGCCAGGCGGGGAGCCCGAAACCAGCTAGCTGCATGCAGCAGTAGTCGTACTCTCCGCCCGCCCTTTCCCTCTCTCCACCTCGTTAATCCACCCCGAGTCATGGAGGTTCGGGTGAAGCGGGAAGGATGCCAGGCGGACGAACCCCGCGTTGCGGAGGCCAGGGACGAGATGTGTTGACGGGAGGCCACGACGACGGGGGCAAGGGAGCGAGCAAACGGTCCTGCTGCATCTGGCCGTGCCTCACTCCCTGGTTGAAGCCGAGCGCATCGATGTAGTACGGGGAGTCCGCCTGCGGAGCGGAGGGAGACCCACAAGCCGGGTGCGCCGAAGAGGGGGGCCAGGAAGAGGGGGTCAGCGCATCGTGGCCCGAGGCCTGTGCGCAGTCGGAGGGAGCGCATCGGGATAAGAAAAGAGGACCATGGCATCTGGAAGACTTTACGGCCCTGGCCGTGAGATCCCCCCCCCCTCGACCTCCTCCCCCCTCTTGGGTGCCCCCGAGCACAGCGACGCTGGCACTGGGCTGGAAACTGGGTTTCAGTGGCCCAAGCCGGGGCACACACCGAGAAGATCAGGGGGTAGCGGCGGCAGCTTCTGTGCCCTGGGGCTCCTCGGACGGCAGAGAAACGACGACGTCTGCTGCTGCTGCTGCTGCTGGGGTAGCTGGGCCACGCAGGAGCACACAAGGGGGAAAAGAGGAGGAGGAGGAGGAGGAGGAGGAGGAGGAGGAGGAGGAGGAGGAGGAGGAGAAGGAGGAGGAGGAGGAGGAGGAGGAGGAGGAGGAGGAGGAAGGAGGAGAGGGTAACGAGGGAGGGACGAGGTCGAACTTTGTCTTGATGATCCCTGGTGTCCACGGTGCACTGTGCCTTGGTGCCGCGAGCGGAAAGGCAACATGTCTAATGTGGCCATGGCTAGCCCAAGATCCCACACCACCACGGTTGGGGTCGACCTCGTTTCCAATCGCCACCGAGAACAGAACCCACGCTATCTGACGTGCGGGCTAGATCGACCACGACACTCACAGATGCATATCTGCTCGTTGTCATAAGTGTGACTTCTGCGCAAATCTTCGATCGAACTGCAATGCTTCGGCCTCTGCGATCTCTTGAAGCTGCGGAGGCACTTCCCAAACGGCCCATCTTGTCGACCGATGTCCTGGTTTGAACAATCGAAATCCGTTTGCTGTTCGCGCAGCGTCGGTATCGACTGAGTATCCACTGTGGCGCCTGGATAGTGCTGCCCGAACGTGCTCGACAGTGATAGTTGCGCTCCCTAAGCTCCCTTTCTGCCATCAGTGTACACAAGCCTACACAACTTATACTGAGCTGTGTACCCTCCTGCGCTCGGGGGAAGGAGGTCTAGGAATAATGGAAACTATTAGGTGGAAGGTGGGAAGGTGCGGATGATAATGAGGAGGCGGAGAAGGAGGAGGAGGAGAAGGAGGAGGAGGAGGAGGAGGGGGAGGAGGAATAATGAAGAGGAGCAAGGCTGATGATGAGGATCTGACAGCAGGAGCAGGAGAAACAGAGGACGAGGGAGGATGAGGGCGGCTGACTTTCATGCGCTTAGGCACGATGCGCGCGGCTGCGTCAACACTGGCCTCGCTGTCTGGCCAAGCGCGCCTGGGCGCGGCGTCTGCTGCCGTGTCAAGCCGTTAAGAAGCGTCTGTGTGCTGGGCACCGCTACGGCCGTCGCAACATCAAGCAGACGAGACGTGGGGCAAACAGCGCTCGAGCCGGTGGGCAACGCGGTACGTAGAAGCCTCCGCGCCCAGCGATTCTTCACGAGCGAATTATTCGGCGGAATTAACGGTGGTTGAATACGGCAAAAAAAGGCTAACACCTGCTTCGCCCCTCTACTACCATGTGGATTTATGGTCAAACACATGCTGGCACCTAGAGTTCGTACCCGCTGCTGATGTCGGTGGTGAGCACCACTCGGCCCACGTACGAACGAAACTGCCTTTAGCATGTTTCTCGGACATTGTGATCAAACAGAACATTGTCACGCCGTTTGGCAATATAACACGGTGCCTGGGCGGATCTGTGTCGCGCTGCTTTTGTGTCCGCCATGCCCGCGACGGTCTAGGTCGGCGTTTACGTCTAGACCTTCATGCCGTGGTTGTAGGCCACTGAATGGATTCTCGTCCAACCAGTGGGTGTCTCTTTGCGTAATCCAATTTGGATCCATGTAGACTTGCTTTGCCGCCTTTCTGGGAGCAGAACAAATTCTCGGAAATAGTGGTTCCACACCAAAGGCGTGAAGGAACCAGACCGTGATACGAATGCCGTATGCATCAACATGCCACCATACCCAAATTACGCAACTACTCCACACTACGCCGATTTCATTTCCATAATGTATAATTCTTTTCTGCTCACTTTCGTTCTGAAATCCGCAAACAACCGCGCATACACGCACATTCCGCACAATCGCATGCACATGCCCATGCAAGCCAGCGGAAGTCTCAACAGCATGGCCTCACATGTGTGCACGTGCCACACAATCCTAGGCACAGTCGGATGCCCAACCTGGACAAACTCCGAACATGTAAACGCACATGCCCGCACATGCCGCAACGTCGAATATTCGGATGGGGGACGGAGAAGCAAGTGGGGGGCGAAAGGACATATGAAAGAGAAAAGAGCAAGGGGAGCGAGGGAAGCGGATGTGGCCGTCGTTTAAGAGGCAACACCATACCCAATAAGGGGCGTGGCAAGCGAAAGCCCCTCTAGAACAAAGGTCTGTGGCCAACGCTCGGACGATGTATCACGGATCCACAGGAGGATTGCACAATCATGTGCGGGCCCGCGCGGTCATCCGCAAGAGGATTGCACAGGCATGTGCGTGCATGTGCCGCTGTCAGATATGCCATTGATCGCACACCTTCCGCATGTGCAGGCATGTTTGCGAGCATGTGGCGGCATGTGCATACAAATGATGCACCAAACACAACGCACATAATCCTGCACATACCCAGGCGCGCATGCACAATAGGACATCCAACCCAGAAAGCCCGCAAATGCCAGCAACATGCAGGGCATATGCCGCGCACGTGCACGCACCAGCGCAAAAGCGGCGAACGCGGTGTACATTCTGGAACAAAAAACATATCGCTATTCGCATTGATCTGCGAAATGGTTGCACTGGGTCCATGAGCTATCCGCCACCGTGCTACCAGGCACGTTGAGGCGTAGTTGAATCCCAAGGGTTGTCTGGTAGGGTTTCTGGAAAATTCTGCAGCCCTCCCCGCTCTGCTGGCATCCGGGAGCACGCACCACCCCCCTCGTCCCGAGACTACCTGGGCGCACCGACGCTTCCCTGGCGTTCTCCAACGCGTCCAAGATAGCTTCCCAGGCGGCCAAGGCAGGCCACCATGACTGCACATTGGCCTCGATACAGCCTAAGATGGCTGGAAGGGCAAAGAGGACCTCTAGGATGGCCTGGACGGTCAAACGCATTACTTTCAAGTAAATGCTGGCACCTTTTCGGGCTTCCGTCAGCCCAAGACTGTTTCAGAGGTCTCCAAAATTGCGTGAAGGCAGCCCAAGCGGGCCCAAAGACGGCCTAATAACCAAATAATGCCCGAAGGACCTCCAAGATCGCCCGAGGAAGTCCCAAGATGGCCCAAACGACGCCCAATTCTGGCGTAAAGGGCTTGAGGAGGGCCCAAAGAAGGCCAAGCGATGTCCCTAAGATGGACTCCGAAGGCGTCAGACGGTCTAATAGCGCCCTCAGACGGCCTAAGGAGCCCTCTTGAGAGGCCCCCACGAGGCCCCAAGAAGAGAGGAAGAGGAAAACAACGACGAAGACGAGAAGAGACTCCCCGCACGACACGGAACACCGTGTCAAATGTCAGGCCTCTGTCAGGGCTGAGGACGAACAAATCTCCCCCTCCTCCTCTTCCTCCTCCTCCTCCTCCTCCTGGGAGCTGGACGATGAGGCAACCCTAAGACTCCTTCCCGTTTGCGCGTGGTCACAGATTTCACATCCTCCCGGGATGTCGTACTTGGCGCACCAGTACACAAGTATGATGAGCCATGGGCGCGTACATGGCATGGCAGGTGGATGGTATGAGCAATATAAGAGCTTCTTAGCAGACGCGGCTCTGCCTACGTAATCTGTCCATCGGGAACGTTGACAGAGAGCTTGATGCGGCACGTTTCGTTGCTGACAAGTCGCTGCGCTGGAATGGTCGAAGCCTCCTTATTCTCGTTCCTCTGGTCTCGGAGGAGCTGCATCGCAGAACAGCGAGGCTGTCTTGCTCCGTCCCTCGTGGGCCCCTGTGGGGCTCTTCCCCTTTGGCCCCGGTGGGCCCTGGCTCCGTGTCTATCGCCTTGCCGTTGGGGTCTCGATTGCGTGCTGGTTTCAATTCGGACACTCCCCTCACGGGGCGTCTCGTGCGTCAGAGATCGTGGGGACGCGCCCTGGAGTTGGCACGACTCCGCAGGGTACCGACCTGTCGCCTCGAGGCCCCAGCCTCCAGGCACGCACCTGGCTTTGATCAGGCTCGCAGCTCCAGATTCATCTGGCCTTCAACCCGTCGTCCAGCCAAGTGATCATCTCACTTAGCTGTAGTGCGCAGTGCGCTTGAGCTATCCCCTCGAGACATCGAATGGCGCTTATGGCTATGTCTTGTCTTGCCTTCCGCCCCCTGGGGACGACGCGTGCCACACGTGACAGCCTTCCCTGCCCCCCTCCTCCTCCTCGCTCTCATTCTCCTCCTCCTCCTCATCCTCCTCCCTCTTTTCCTTCTCCTCCTCCTCCTCCTCCCCTTGTTCTTCTGCGGAGCGGCTCCAGCGCGAGGTGCGCCTGGGCGCTCGCAGGCACACTGGCGAAGGGGCCGAAACCATACTGGGTAGAAAAGGGCTCTCCGTGGCTCTGCCGGCGACGCAGTCCTCCTCCTCCCTCTCCTCCTCCCAGGGGCGACGGGTATGTCACATGTTGAAGGGGCCCTGGGACACACAAACAAACACACACACACACTTATAATAGGTTTCCCCCTATGTTCCCCCACCTCCTGGGTGTCTGTCTTCCTCCCCACTTCCCCTATTGTCCCACATATCTTCCTGGGAATCGACAATCAATTGTGTCCTGTGTTTTTTCCCCTTCTGATCCTAGGTGCGACGAGCATCACATGCGACAGCCCTGTCGGCGGTGCTCGAACAAACGGCCACTTCGAGATCTGCGTCGGCTCGGCGGCGGGACTCGCCGCAGGCAGCTGGTTACGCGAGTCATCCGGGCTGGTATTCCATCGTCTGTCCCCTTGGTCTGTACACTCAGTACTTCTTCCGCCACGGTTCTCGCTTCATACATTGACTCTGGCACAGCTAGGCACCACAAACCTCATGGGACGCGCTTCTGACTAAATGTTCCTGTCCACTGCTCCTCGGCCATGACTCCTGATAGAACGCTCTCCACATGACTCGTTACGCAATGCCTTGAATTGCTTGACGCCCTGGGCACTACATATTACAATGCCTTGGATTAATTGACTCGTCCCCACATTACTCGCTACACAAGTTTACCAGGGATCCTGTCACTCTCCGCCCCTGTTTATTGTTACCCCATCGCTGGCCCCCGTATTCCGAACCCCTTACTCGTTGACCCTAGCTCCTTACCCCTCGACCTGTACGCATCATTCGTTGCCCACCATTCTCTTACACTTCACTTGCTGCGAACTTCCGCCGCTCTCTGCTCCTCTCCTCCTCCTCACTGGAGCCCCTGTGCGTGTAGTCGGCGTGGAGGTCCCCGCGGGCTGGAGCCGTTGCGCATGAGTGTGAGCTCCGCGGAAGGGGATCGCACTCCAGGGTGTGTGTGTGCTACGCAGGCGCGTCGCCTGGCAAAGGGCGTGCGACGTGCGCCTGGCAAACGGCGGGCGACGTGCACCTGGGACCTGTGCGCGCGCTCCTTCCCTCTGCTCCGAGCGACCGGGTGGCCCACGAGAGCGGGGCGGACTGATGTCGTGCAGCCGGCAGCTCGCGGCTGCTGGCCGCTCCTGCGCGCCAACGGCTCTCTGCGGCCCGGCGAGGCCGGTCTCGCCCCAGGCGAGGACGGGAGGCGACCGGAGGGCACTGGCCGCTCCCGCGAGGAACTCAGCGGCGCGGCCCGGGTCCCTCTCTGGGCCTCTGGGGAGGTTCCCGTCGCCACGGCTGAGGGGAGGTCGAAATGTCAGAGGAAAAAGTTCAAGAGGAATGTATGGAGTGGCGTCGTGCGGTCGTGGAGGCCATGCAGCGGACTCTGGAAGCCTCGACCCCAAACGGCTTGTCGTCCCTCGAGGGCGCCTCTTTCACTTCCGCCACCCTCCGCTGGCCTTCGCCCGCGGAAGGCGGCCTCGTTTGACTTGCGCCGCCTTCGGCCGAGGAGGGGAGGGCCGCTCCTTCGATCCTCCAGGGCGAGGCCCTGTCTGGAGCCCATCCCGTGGTGTGCCTCCGTGGGTTGCGGCAGGCCCAATGGCCAGGCCTCGACATCCTGGCCCGAGCGCGCTCCAGGGACGACCCGAGGCTCCTGCAGATGCGTCGCCCAATCGGCGGCCCATCCCGTGCCCTGGAACGGAGCGCGTTCCTCCCTCGGAGCTCTGGGTGAGCGGGCTGACCACGAAGGCCGCGGAGGTCAGAGGTGTCCGTGGCGGATGCCCGTGTTCCAGCCTGCGCCCCCCTGCCCGGGCATTTTGCCGTGTACGCGGCCTCAAGAGCGACGTCCGTGCGCGGGGGCGCGTGACGCTCGTGCGAGGAGGTTGGGAGAAGGCTGGGGCGAGTGGGTGGGGGCGATGCGCGGAGGGGCGGCCCGTTGCGACGGGAGGCAGAGACGATGGGCGGACGAGGAGTGCGAGGAACGTCAACGGCAGAAGGGATATGGAGAGGGTGGCGGGGATGTTCAGTCAGTCGACGTGAGCAAATGGGTAGAATCACACAGGAGTGGCGATGGGGCGTGAGCCAGGAAAACGATGAAGATAGACGGGGAAGATGACAATGCATAGTGCACACGCCTTGGCACAATCGGGGCATGCCGTGAAGAACTTTGCGAACTTCCCCATGACGTCGCCAGAGAAGCGTGGACTTGCAATCCCAAGGCCTGCTTGGTTGGGGGCACAACACAATCACACACACATATATATATATACACATACACAACCAAACAATGCATGTAGCGCAGAGGTTGGCGATACATGCAGCGCGTAGAACAAGGGATGTGAATGCGAAGGCCCCAACTGACCTGGCGGCGAAGTGCCCTTTGCTCACACCGTGTGCGCAGCGGGAGGTATAGAGTTCGGGCAGTGCGGATGAGGTGTTGCGGGCAGGGCGCCAGAGGTTCGAGCGTCCAGGGTCCAGGACGACCCAACATGGCTCCAACATGGCAGAAGGCAGCGCGTGATGCCTCCAACGTGCCTCCACGAGGCTCCAAGACGTCTCCAAGTGGCCACGGAGCCTCCAAAGAGGCCAACACCCTTCAAACACATAGGATTTTCCAATGCTTGTACCTCTCTCGCCTTTTCGCTTCTGGTGGGCTTCTGAGGCCTCAAGATGGCTCCAAAATGGCCCCGAAGGCCCCCCAAAGGGCCCCACGAGCGTCTCAATCTTGCCCCTGAAGACGAATTGCTGGGCTCCAGATGAACACCGCTATTGAAGTATTCCCTCTTTTTGGATCGATAGCCTCCAGGATGGCTCCGAGAGCCCCCCACAGCCCCCATGAGACCCGCAAGGGAGAGGTCTAATATGGCTCAATGTGCCCCGTGATGCTTCTACATCCACCATTGCTGGCATCTTTGCTACACTATTAGAGACATCTCTGCGTCCGTTCTCCCGATAACTAATCTGGGCCTCGTTTCTAGATGGGCTGGTGAGGATACGCGAAGCGTCAAACATGACAATGTGGTAGGACGCGCTGCGGCAGTGTAAGAGGCGTGAACACAGCACTGGCGAGCTGACCGCGTGAGACGAGCACATGCCATCTCTTGCGTTCCAGTTGCGAGTATGTCAAGATGGAAATTAAGGTCAACCACTGGAGGTCAAGATGTAAGAAACCGTCAATTAACGACCATGGCTGAAGCCATTTCTTACTTCATTGCAAGACACGTGAGGCTTCCCGCGTTCGCCATGCACGTTACGAGCTCAGAACTTGCTCCCCGGCAGAGGCCGTCACGCCCCGATCCCCCAATCGAGGAACAGGAGGAAGAGAGCGAAAGAGAGAGGGAGGGGGGCAGGAGCAGGAGGATGGGATACGTGAGCCACGGAGACGAGGGTGGGTTGGGGAGGGCAAGGAGATGGAGAGGGCGAAGCGAGGGAGAGCGTGATGCAACGGGGGGGCGGAGGACGAGGGAAACGAGGCTCGTAGATGAAAGGCGGCGTGTTCTTCACTCGCTGCTCTGCAGTTGCGAACTTGCCGTACGGCGCCCTAAAGCGAGTCTCGGGGGTCAACGTCTGTGGCCTCCCCAGATCAGCTCGGGCCGCTGCGTCGGCTCTGCTGGACGGGTCGGAGCTCGCCGCCCAACTGAAGTTGTTGTCGCTCCACTGACAGCAACCTTCGTTTTTGTTGGTTTGGTTAGCCCCCCCTTCAGAAAATGCTTCCAATCCATCGCCGTGCCGAAGACTCTTTGAATATCTGTGCAAGCGCCCGGCATGCACGGGTTGCTCATATACACGGGCTCACCGCGACGGCAGCCCTCAGGGGGACGATGGTTCAGGAGGCATGTACCCTCCCAGCCGCCATAGAAACCTAGCAAGACACTTGTCTTGCATGATCTGGCCGGGATCCCGCTCCCCTGGTGTATTCTAATAAAACGTGCGGGTAAAAAGAGAGGGGGCGGCGTGGTCGTCGGCAGTCTTTGAAGCTCTGAAGAAGCCCGCTGCAGGCGCCGATGGGTGGGTCGTGGGGTGGGTCGCGGGGTGGGTCGCGGGCGAATCGCGGGCGAGGACGACGACAACAACACAACACCAACAACACCACCAACAACAATAACAATCAGTTTAAGACTGTTCGCTCTTTCTTGCACACGTGTCTTTCACTGCAACAGCAACGAAAGAACGGAGACGCCTGCCCCTGCAGAGGGCCGCCGCTTGAGCATGCAGACCCAAGTGGAGCAACGGACACTCTGGCCCCTGCGACTCTGTGGCGGCGCTCCTTGTGTGACGACGACTCCTCCAGCCCTGCTTCGGGGCCCTCTGCGACGGCGATGGGTCGCGGTGGACAAACGGACACTCGGGCCCCGTGCCTGGGGGGTCCGAAAGGATTCTGGGACAGACTGAGGACACCGCAAAAATACGGAGGAATCTTGGGGGATCCAGGGGAACCCTGAAGGATCCTGATGGATCCTACGGAGTCTTGAAGAATCCGTGGGGGTCATGGGGAATCCGAAGGAATCATGAGGACTCCAGGAAGTCCTGGGGCCCCCCGAAATATCCTGGGGGATCCAGAAGAATCTAAATGAATCCCGAAGGGTCCTGGGGAATCCTGAACATCCTAGGGGTTCCAAAAGAATTCTGGGGAAGACTCAAGAGTCCCCAAGAAAACAGAAAGATCCCGGGGGATCCCGAAACATCCGGGGGGATCCTAAGGAATCCTCAGGGATCCTTGGGGGCCCAAAGGGATCATGAGGAGTCCTAGGGACTCCAAAGATATGCTGGGGCATCCTGAGGAATCCAAGTGAATCCTGAAAAGTCCTGGGGCATCCTCAAGAATCCAAGGATATCCTAGGAAGGGTATCCAAAACAATTCCGTGGGATTCGTAAGGCAATCCATCAACTTCCCCAATAACTCCATACGGTTCCTCAGACATTCCGTGAGATTCTCCAGCAATTCCATCGGCTTACAAATGATTTCATAGGATCCCGCAATAATTCCATAGGACTCATAAGGATCCCCAGAGGATTCCGCAGGATTTCCATATGGTTTTTCTTACAAATTCCATGGCTTTCTGAAGGAATTCCAAACTAGTCCTACAAAAGGAATTCCATACGATTCCCCCTCGGGTACTCCATGGGATGCTGTAGGAATCCCACCGGATCCCGCAGGAATTCCATAGGATTCCCCCCAAGGAATTCCGTAAGATTTCCTTCAAAAGTTCCATCGGGTTTCCCCCTGCGGAGTTCCGCAGAATTTCTAAGGAATGCCTGGAGATTCCGAAGGGATTCGAAGGAATTTCATCGGATTCCTAAGGAAAGAGGCAAGCCAGGAACGCCGACGCCTTCTCTGGCCCCGTGGAAGCCCCTGTCGCCGCCGCCCCAGTGCCAACGCCTTCTCCAGCCCCGTGGGGCAAGCCCGCGGTTGCTGGACCTCAGTTTGCCTTTCAGGGTAACGAGTGGGTTTTAGAAGAAGAAAACGCTCAACGACAAATCCGGGCTGGTGTCCACGTTGTTCCGAACGGCAGCAACGACATCAACAGCAGCAGCGACAATCACAACAACAACACCGCCACCACCAACAACAGGAACAACAACAACAACAACAGCAGCTACAACAACGCCACAACCACCACCGCCAGCGCCACCAACAACGATACCAATACCAACGCCAACACCAACGCCCACGCCGGCACCGACGCCAACGACATCGACATCGCCAGCGCCGCCACCACCACCGCCGACGACAACAGCAACGACGCCAACGACGCCACAACGATCTCCAACACGAAACCCCGCTTCAGCCACGCGCCCAAGGATAATGAACGACCGCTCGGCCCGCTTACTCTGATAATCCGCCACCGCGCTCGCAGTGGTTGGTGTGCGTCTGGCCCGTTCGCCTCTTGCGAAGCAGTAGTGAAGACCCCCCCAGCTCATCGAGCCTAAGACGCGTTCATTTTAGTGGCCAAATTCCTCCGTTTTTGACCTTCCAAGTCGAAACTAATCCCACATACAACACGTAGGAAAAGGGGGGTCCGTGGCCCTTCCCCCCCCCAGGCGCCTCCCCCCCCGTTCGTCCAAGCGCGGAGGCGGAATCGCGCGGCATCGCAACTGGACTCCAGTTCAAGAAATAGAATATCCCACCTAGAGAAAATGCGGTTCCAGTAAATCTTGGGCGGGAGGCAGGTCCAGAAACTTGACTTTGTCTTGTAGCTGTCGTTGGGCCATTCCATTGCGAGAGCGCGTCAGGGCCATCCCAGGGTCAGCGCTGGGCCCCGCCTCATCCGAGCGCGGGCACCCGCATTTACCCCCCCTCCGGGCATATGTAAATATGGGCGGGTGGTTCGTTTAGGGTCAACCACCGTAAAACCTTAAAGAGAGGATGGAGCGCGCCCGCCGCCCCGCGCCCCCGCTGGGGCCCCTCTCCTCCTGGACCCCTCCTCCTCCTCCTCCTCCTCCTCCTCTTCCTCCTCCTCCTCCTCCTCCTCCTCCTGCTTCTCCCTCATGGTGTCGTGTCCTGGTATTGCTTTGGCCTCTTCGGGCCAGCCTGGGGGCCATCGCATGGCCATTTGAGAGATATCTCTCGGCCGCCCCAGGGACTACCCTGCGGCCTGCTGGCAACCACGTCGAGATCATGTGCGGATCACTCGGCCCCTTCGGGGTCGCCCTGGAGGTGCGGTGGGTTCGCGTCGCGTTGACGCGGCGGCAAATTCTGCCGCGGGCGTTCGAGGTTGAACACCGCCAGTGGAATCGGCCAATCTGGAACGATCTGGCGGTCGGAAAACTACCAATCGTTCGAGGTTGAACGACCCACGCGGCGTCCGAAACCAACGCCAAGTCGTCGCGACACGAACTTGCCGCATTGTCCGGTCGCTTGGTGCCTTGAGGCCATCTTAGAAAAGCACGGGGGTCGCGGGGCCGTCATGACACCAGTTTGGGTCGTCTTGAAGTCTTGCGCATTTCCAGGACTTTTTGTTGCGGCCGTTTACACACATATATATATATATATGTATACACATATGTATGTATGTATGCATGTATGTATGTATGTATGTATGTATGTATATATATATATGTATATACGTGTATCTATATGTATATGTATACATATATATACACATATGTGTAACATTCGATGGCTTTAAGCATGGGACTGGTATTCGTCGAGATCGGATCGCCCCGCACATCGGATCGGCAGACATCGGCAAACATCGGCTGGCACATCAGATCGCCCAAAGCCGGCAGGGCCCCCTCCGGGAGGGGGGCCCCCGCTCCTGGAGGGGGGGCCCCTCCCAGAAGGGGGCGCCTCCGTGAGCTTCTTCGCGCCGTCGCGCTCTCGCGCCGCCCCTCCCCGAGTGGGCCAGCGCTCGGACCGCCGCGCGCGAAACGGCAGCAGGGGGCCCCCCTCCTGGGAGGGGGGGTCCCCCCTCCTGGGAGGGGGGCCTCCTCCTCCTCCTCCTCCTCCACCTCCACCTCCTTCTCTCCCTCCTCCTCCTCCTCCTCCTCTTCCTCCTCCTCCTCCTCCTCCTCCTCCTCCTCTTGATTCGCTTAACTCTGCGAATATTGCGCACCGCACGTGCAACCGCGTGGAACACAGCACGGCGTAACATATCCATGCGGAGCAAAATCGGATCGACAAGAATCGGCAGACATCGGCTGACACATCGAATCGGCAGGAATCTGATCGGGCGAACTCGAAAGCGGAATCGCACATCGGAATCTCCGCATCAAATCGGCTCGAATCGGCAACCTGGGAAATCGACTCGAATCGAGCTGGCGGAATCGGAATGAACCCTGGTATATTGCACCACGTATTTTGCACACCATAGTTCACACCACGTAGCTTGCACCGCGTGGATTGCACCACCTAGATTGCACCACATAGCTTGCACTGCGTAGCTTGCGCAAGATAGACTGCACCACATAGCTTGTACCGCGTAGCTTGCACCGCGTAGCTTGCACCACATAACTTGCACCACGTAGCTTGCACATCCATTGTGCAATAGCTTACCGTTTTGGGGCGGGTGAGGAAGGGAGGGAGGCGTTTGCAACTTCGGCGCCGGGGTGATGCAATGGTGACGATGCTGACGATGATGGTGACGATGTTGCTGATGATGATGATGATGATGATGATGATGATGGTGATGATGATGATGATGATGATGACGATGACGATGACGATGATGACGATGATGATGATGATGATGATGATGATGATGATGATGATGATGATGATGATGATGATGATGACCCTGATGGTCTTTACGATGATAAGGATTAATGATGCATCACCCTCATCATCAACAGCAGCAGCAGCATCATCACCATTATCATCCCTTCCCCGAAGGAACGTCTGACAGCAGGCTTCCTGTGGAAGCGCTCGCAGGGCTCGGATGGGCAGCGAGCACCGCCCCTGCTCCCGCCGCCGCCGCTGTCGATCCTGCCAGTGCTGCTGCTGCTGCTGCTGCTGCTGCTGCTGCGGCGGCTCGCTGCTCTGCGCCCTCCGTCGGACCCCCTTGCGGGCGGGCCCAGCAGCAGTCCTGCCGGAAGGCACTCGGTCGCCGAGCCGAGCGGACCTACGAACAAACACAATAGACATGTTCCCTTCTCTATATTTTTGCAATTCCGGGGGTGCGGACCCCCCCCCCCGAAACGGGACCCCCCGGATCCGTGCCACGGGGGCGGCCGAAAATCCTTCCCAAGGCGTGCACGCAGGCGGGTGGCAGTGCCAAATCGGTCGGCGCAAGCCCACAGAGACACCCAAGACAATCCAAGATAGCACCCGGGTAGCCTTGAAGACCCTCCGCGAGAGCCCCAAGACCGTTCTCAAAGGGGGCCCGAGAGAACAAAATCATTGAATTTCCATTGGTTTTTCAATGTTTTGCGCGTCCTCGCTTTTTCGGGTTTCCGACGCTCCCGGACCGCCCAAGAAGCTCCCAAAACCGCTCCAAGACGGCCCAAGAAGCTCCCAAAGCGCGCTGAGAGCGCCCCAAGACGGTCCAAGACGCGCCCGAGATGGCCCACGAACGCTCCAAGACGGCCCAAAAAGGGGGGCCCCAGGGGGGACCACGAATTGAAAATACGAGCCTCCCGCCCCGAGAAGGCCCAAGGATGCCCCAAGAGAGCTCCACAGGGCCTCGGGAAGCCCCGTAAGTAGCTCTGGTGAGGCTCCAAAAACATTCCAAATTGTTACAACGTCCTCGCTTTTTCGGGTGTCCGACGCTCCAAGACCGCCCAAGAAGCTCCCCAAACCGCCCCACAACGGCCCAAGAGGCTCCCAGAGCGCTCTGAGAAAGCCCCAAGACGGCCCAAGACGCGTCCGAGATGGCCCACGAACGTTCCAAGACGGCCCAAAGAGGAGCCCTACGGGGGACCACGATCTGAAAATACGAGCCTCCCGCCCCGAAAGAGCCCAAGGAAGCCCCAAGAGAGCTCCAAAGGGCCTCGGGAGGCCCCCTAAGACGCTTCGGTGAGGCTCCAAAAACATTCAAAAATGTTACTTTCCCATTCGGTTTTCAATGTTTTCAGCGTCCTCGCTTTTTCGGGTTTCCCACGTTCCAAGACCGCCCAAGAAGCCCCCCAAACCGCTCCACAACGGCCCAAGGGGCTCCCAGAACGTCCTGAAAAACCCCAAGACGGTCCAAGACGCGCCGCGACGCGGACAAAAATCTGTGCCGCACCCTGGCGGCGCGAACGTTTTCTCTTCTTGCTCCGCCTCGTCCCCTCCCTCTCCTCCTCCTCCTCCTCCGCCTCCTCCCTCCTCCTCCTCCTCCTCCTCCTCCCCTCCCTCCGCCCCTCCCCTCCTCCTCGCTCCTCCTCCTCCACCCCTCCTCCTCCTCCCTCCTCCTTCCTCCTCCTCCTCTCTTCCTCCTCCTCACCTCCTCCTCCTCCTCCTCCTCCTCCGCGTCCTCCTCCGCTCCTCCGTAAATGGAGCAAGCGAGCGCTGCTCAAGCGGATGCAGGAGGGCGCGACGGGCCCACAACAGCAACCGTCAGACCGCTCCACAAGGCTCCGGGAGAACCCCCGCGAACCCACTCGAAGGGCTTCAGCGCCCCAAGGCGGCCCAGCGGCCCTCAAAAGGGGGTCCCGACGGCTCATAAGAGCCAAGCCGACCAACACCCTGCTCGTCAAACCCGCCGCCCTCGAAATCGCACCACTCCGCCGCCCCGCGCCCCCTTCATCTGATATTCCCTGAAGAATAGCCGCATTATGCTCATAATCCCGGGTTCGCAACCAATTTTCCGGAAATTCGGTTGCGAACCCGGGATTCCAGCTGTTTCCCGCGCGGCCCCCACTCATATGCGCTATTTCATGCGCCCGCGGCCCCCAACTCGCAGTTTTGGCCCGTCCCAGGTCGATTGCCCCCCTTTCTGCTCTTCCTGCGCTTCTCCGAAATACGAACCAGCGGACCGCGGTTAACATGGAAAAAAGGATGGCACCACGGGCCAATCATTCCAAAGCTTCAAGGAACAAGGTGCATGGCGCGAAGCGCCAATGCAGCCTTGTATATATATATATATATATACAGATATAGCAAAACTCAAACCCGAAAAAAAGTAGTAGCCGACGTGCTGCTCCTCCTCCTCCTCCCCGCGGCGGCGGAGGCGGCGGCGGGAGGCCACCGGGGCTCGCTGCCCCAGGGAGCCCTGCGCAGGCTTCCACAGGACAGCACCTGTCCATCGAGTCGTAAAGTCGGATCGGATCGGAGCGCGCGTCGGGTCGGGCCGCCTCGGCACGGAATCGAGGTCGAATCGGACCGGCCGCATCGGAATGCACAACCGCGCGATGCGAATGCCGGGCCGCATCGGATCGCTGGCACGCTGGGATCAATCGGATCGAGCCGGCCGAAACTGATATCACATTGGATCGGTCGATCGGATCGTACTGGATCTTTTCAGGAAGTCTGCTGTCAGGCTTTCCTGCGAAGAGAGCCCCCCCCTGCACTTTGCGAACACCACCCTCGCTCTTTCCTCCTGCTCCTTCTGCAGCTGCTGCTGCTGCTGCTGCTCCTCCTCCTCCTCCTCTTCCCCCCTCCTGATTCGTCTTGGCATGAAGGAAACGGTCCTTAGATCCTGTTTTTTTTCCCCAAGGCTGTATTTCCATCATGAGTTGCTTCTTGACAGCCCCTGGGGCACGCGGAAGGCCCAAAAACGTCAGGCACGGCGGAAAACCTTCAGCATACGCTTCCCTCGGGACCCCTCTGCTTCGTGACGATTCTGCCTCCCTCCTCCTTCCCCGTTCCTCATCCGCACTCTCGGAGCAAGCCGCCGACTCGTCGAGGTCACCCACCTCCCCACAAGGCCCAACGGGCACGTCCACCCGTCGCCCACTCGGCCGTACACTCGCGCCTGGCAGGCTAAGCGGGAGGGAAGCCGGGGGCCCTCATAATCGGATCGGAGTCTCGCGGACTCGATCTACTCAGCGTGCAGGAGGCGGCTTCTGGAGGCAAAGGGTCCTGGAAGTTGCTCGCCGTTTCAGGGCCCAACGGGGCCCTCCACGGGCACCAGGGCTGTGAAAAAATACTCAAGAGATGAAGGGCTGGTCCTGGCGAAGGCCTCGGGGTCTAGGCCCTGCTTCTCTCAGGACCCGACTCCTTCAAGGCGAATCGGATCGGAATTTCGCGGATTTGATTTGCCTGAGCAAATCAATTCCCAACGAGCCGGGTCAGACGATTCGAACCGGTAGAGGAAGCGAGTCGGTAATGCGTTCAATTCAAATGCCTTGCGTCCGGACGGCGCACCAGCAGGGTGAGACCGTGAGCCGCAAGCTGTATTGGCGGCGGCTGCATGTGCTAAACAGAGAATGAATCTTTTACATGTCCACGACTACATGCCCCACCTGAACGACCGAATCGAGGTGGATTCTGGGAGTAGGCTGGGGGTGGGTGGACTGATGCGGTATGGCAGGGGCAGAATTTCCTAACACTGCACGGGCATCGCCTCCTGCTCAGACTCCATGCCTGTGCTGATAAGAACGACGCTCTGAATGGCGTCAACCATTGGGGGCACAACCACAGCCAGTACGACTCGAAACGCAGGCCCGCTTCCTTCCAGCAGCCAGTTGATAAGCCAAGCGAAGCCAACAGGGTATACCAACAACAAGCGCACCATGAAGAACACAGAGGTGATAACAACCATGCCCGCCAAGTACGCCAATTTAGTCGTCATGCTACCATGGCTGTAGTACTTCGCTTGCAGTGCGACTCCGAGCCACACATTCGGCAAGAAAGTAACGAGCGCCATAGTGTATCCGCCGACCCCCGCTTGCCAAGACTGAGAAGGCATGTGAGATGTTTGGCTGTTCTTCTCCCCAGATGTTCAAGCTTTAGATTAAAAAGGGGTCGGGGGGGACGAGCTGGTCAACGCACCTTCCAGCGAACCGCACAGACACGCAGGCGCACACCAGGCACACGCCAGGCACACACCAGGCACATACCAGGCACGCACCAGGCACACACCAGGCACACACCAGGCACACACCAGGCAAATACCAGGCACACACCAGGCGCACACCAGGCACACAACAAACACACAGTCACACAGACACACCGGCACACATACACACACACAGACACACAGACGCAAGGATAGACAGACGCACAAACACACGAGACACACAGACACACAGACACACAGACACACAAACACACAGACACACAGACACACAAACGCACAGTCACACAGACACACAGACGCACGGACACACAGACACCAACACACAGACGCATAGACACGCACAGACACACACACAGACACACACAGACACACACACAGAAACACTTTTTATGTCGCAGCGTGGCAGTGGCAATCCGCAAGCGCGTCTGGGGCGAGACCGCGGCACACAATCGCGAATTAACCTGCATGCAAAAGGAAGGGTCGCACAGACACGCACACAATGACACACACACACACATAGACACAATGACACACACAGGCACACACAGGCACACACAGACACACAATGACACACACACAGACACACACACAGGCACGCACAGGCACACACAGACACACACACACAGACACCCAGAGACACCCAGAGACACCCAGAGACACAGACACACAGACAAACAGGCACACAGACACGCAGACACGCAGAGACACAGAGGCACAGACACACAGACACACAGACGCAGAGACATACAGACACATAGACAAACAGACACACAGACACACAAACACACAGCCACACAGATACACACACACACCAACAGACACACAGACACACAGACACACGGACACACAGACACACAGACACACAGACACACACACACACACATAGAGACACACACATCCACATACGGGGGAGTATTTCCGTACTTACGGAATACTGATCTACATGGCTATATATATACACAAACATCATGTATCCCTCTTTGCCTCTTCCGCCGAATGGGCGGTGAGCGCGAAACGTGTTGGATAAGGACACTGCTTTGACGGTGCAGCAAAACCTGTCACCCGAGGCAAGAAAGATAGCTATATTGTCCATCACAGCAGACACGGCGAAATAGATTGTGAGCCCAACGCCCTCGGTCTGGACGAATATGCAGCCAGCGAGCGCCAAATCCACACCGAACGGCGCCCTCAACATGCACTGCGTCAGCTCAGGGTACCGGTTGTATGGGCTCCGTCCCATGAACGGAAACGTCAGTGCCTTCGCGCCGCAGCGCATCCGCCACACGCGCCAGAGCAGGATCAGGCCGACCGCGCTGTACCGCAGGAAGGTCCACGCTGCAAGCTGAGAGTTCTCCCTCGTGCACTGCTGGGGCTCCGATAGAAAGCTTGCGCTACTGTGGGAAGCAGGGAGCAGCGCACCATCCTACGAACAAGGGACCTCCTACAAAATCGAATTGCCCCAGAATTCAAAACCACCAGCCGTAACTGTTTTTAAAATCACACTGGGTGAAACAAATCTCCTGGTGGTCAAGCCTTGCCCCTGGGGTGGTTCATGGCCAGTTCCGGAGCATCTCGTTTTCGCAGGCAATCCCCCGTTCGAGTCCCGTTCCTGCGAGAAGTCCATTCTCCGATGATGTTGCATTGAATCTGCGCAGCCCGCTGGCTCATGTGCCAGGAACTGGGCGGCAATTCTTGGGCCAACACACTAGCAACACATATTCGGCTCATGCAGTGTCACGTGTAAGCTGCTTAAGCTGGTTAAGTATGCTCGACGTCTTCCTCATCCCACTGTTTTCGACCTCCCTCATTTTCTCCTCCTCGGATTGTGAATATGCTATGTAAGACATGCGCACCTCGCGCAAGCGCTCATTCGGGAGCAATTCTTGTAGCCGCGTTGTCCCCATCCTCATCATCATTGCGGTCACCACCAAGAGTATGGGACGATGAAGATGATGCTGATTCTGTTTTTGTGTCCCCTGCCTCTCGCCTAGTTTGAAGCTGGCATGCGAACAAACAGTACAGATTTGGAAAAGCCCTCACCCGTCTGCAGTTGTGGCCTCGATGCAGCTCCTCACCTGGGTGATGAACCAATGGGCCTGGTCATCCCCATGCTGATGTTGATGATGAGTGTCCGACCTATCACCATCGCAATCATTGTCATGATTGGTCTGATCACCCTAATGGCCATCTTCACCGTTGTCGCTAGCACATATTTTCGACCGCGTGACTCGCAGCGCCGTCGCCAGTTCCCCGAAAAGGAATGTGGTTTCAACTCGAGCCTGCACAGCGACGGGTGGGTGCCTGCCAGAAAGGGCGTGAACAGTTAACTTGTGCAGAGGGTGGGTGGGTCGCAGAGGAGGAGGAGGAGCAACAGGGGGCGGATCAGGATCAGGAAGACGGCGGGGAAGTTGGGAGAAGGGAGGCATGTAGGCGTGGGATGATGAGTCATTGTGCCCTGACGCCACAGGCGCCTACTAAAGGAGGGAGCGGAAAAGGGAACGGATGAGGAGGGAGGAAGAAGAGGAGGGAGGAGGGGAGGAGAGAAGGAAGAGGAGAGGAGGAGGAAAAGGAGGCAGGAGGAAGAATCATGAAAGAAGAAGAAGAAGGACAAGGAGGAAGCCTCTGGAGGTCTCCCGGGCCACCCCAGAAAAGGTTCCAGAGATCTCCGGAGGCCTCCGAAAACCTCCAAATCCAAACGTAGAAATATGTACTGATACGGGTCAAAGAAATCACTGCCCTTTCCCCTAGGTCGGGTCCTCATCCTGAATAATTTTGACGGCCTCGGAGCCTTATAGTGAATCATTTTGAAGGCCTCAAGGGGTCGAAACCTACCAAAAGGCCCCGCCTCGATTCTTTATACCCACATCCTGAGTGGGGTTCGCGCTTTCCCAGAACGCCCTCTCCTCCTCCTCCTCCTGCTCCTTCTGCTCCCGCCTCTGCCCCCTGCCGCCTGCCACCACCACCACCACCACCACCACCACCACCACCACCACCACCACCACCACCACCACCACCACCACCACCACCACCACCACCACCACCACCACCAACCACCACCACCACCACCACCACCACCACCACAACCACAACCAGCACCAGCACCAGTACCAACACCACCACCACCAGCACCACCACACCACCACCACTACTACTATACTACCTACTACTACATCTATAGGTGTGTTCGCTTGCACCCATACTACTACTACATACTACTACTACCTACTACTACTACTACTACTACTACTACTACTACTACTACTACTACTACTACTACTACTACTACTACTACTACTACTACTACTACTACTACTACTACTACTACTACTACTACTACTACTACTACTACTACTACTACTACTTCTACTAATACTACTACTACTACTACTACTACTACTACTACTACTACTACTACTACTACTACTACTACTACTACTACTACTACTACTACTACTACTACTACTACTACTACTACTACTACTATACTGCTGCTGCTGCTGCTGCTGCTGCTACTATATCAGCTACTATCACGACTGTGACTATATTACTACGTACTCCTCCTCCTACTGTATAGATTACTCACGACTACTACGGACGAATACTACAGAACAGAAAATGCAACTATATGAACGTGGCTCTGACGACTACTACTACTGCCCACCATACTATTGACTACTACTACTACTTACTCCTAGTACTACTGTACAATAGTACTAGTATTGTACTAGTACTGGTACAGTAGTATCGTACTACTCCTACTTACTACTACTACTAACTACAACTACTACTAAAAAACAACAAATAACTCTACACAAAACAAAAATACCACTACGACTACTACCACTACTACTTACACTACTTAATCCTACTACTACTACTACTACTACTACTACTACTACTACTACTACTACTACTACTACTACTACTACTACTACTACTACTACTACTACTACTACTACTACTACTACTACTACTACTACTACTACTACTACTACTACTACTACTACTACTACTACTACTACTCTCACTACTACTCCTACTGCTACTGCTACTGCTACTGCTACTGCCACTACAAATTACTACGACTACTACAACAACAAGTACTAATCTACTGCACGCCGTTTGCGACTACGTGTACGGCTACGACTGGGAATACGACGAGGCCTACGACTACTACAACTACTACTACTACGACGACGACTCCTACTACTACTACTACGGCGACTACTACGACGACTACTACTACTACTACCAGTACTACTACTACTACTACTTCTACTACTACTACTACTACTACTACTACTACTTCTACTACTACTACTACTACTACTACGACTACGGCTACGACTACTACTACTACGACTACTACTACGACTACTACTACTACTACCACTACTACTACTTCTACTACTACTACGACAACAACAACTACTACTACTACTACTACAACGACCACTACTACTACTACTACTACTACTACTACTACTACTACTACTACGACTACTACTACTACTAATACTAAAACTACTTCTACTACTACAAATACATCGACTACGACTACGACTACGACTACGACTACTACTACTACTACTACTACTACTACTACTACTACTACTACTACTACTACGACTACGACTGCGACGACTACAACTACGACTACTACGACTACGACTACGACACGACTACTACTACGACTACGACTACGACTACTACTACTACGACTACTACTACTACTACTACTGCTACTGCTACTACTACTACTACTACTACTACTACTACTAGTACACTTCTAGTACTACTACTACTAACACTACTACTAATACTACTACACTAATACTACTACTACG